CCTTTTTTTTCAATTTTAATTCCCTGGGTTAAAAAAAAAAAATTTTCTTCCCCGATGGTGCTTTTTTGTTGTTTTTGGTTTTGTTAATGCAAAAATTCGCTGACCAAAAAATGCCAAAAAACACGTCCACGACAAATGCAGATGCAAGACAGCATTCACATTCATTCACTCGTTCCGGTGGTGAAGCCTTTAGGTGCTTCGCCTTCACACTCAGACAACATAAGGTCGATTCCCCAGTTGGAAGGTTTTTAACATCAGCACTTACTTCTGTCTGCTAATAATTCATTCACAGAGATCACACTAATTTAGTCATGTCTGGGGTGAAGCGTTTACATGCTTTGCCTTTGCATGCGGAAGGCATAACTTCGATTTCCCAGTTGGGAGGTTTTGTTTATAATTTATTATGAAACTTTTTGTTTGTCTGATGCGACTTTATGTCCCTCTTATCCCGGGTTGGCTCTGACAAGAAGGGCCACAGTTGCTAGTCTCCCAAGTGATCCAAATTGTGTTGATGGGGCCATAAAACTACAAATACTACTTCTGATGTGATATGTACATTTGTCAGCTTTACTCTTCTTTTCATATCGAATTTTAATGAGAGAAATAGATAATTTAAATCTGTATGTCTACCTGCATGAGTTTTTACGGTCCTGTACAGCCAAGAAAAATTTCCCTCTGGGACAATAAAGTATTATCTTATCTTATCTTAACCCCATGTGGGAACCCCATTGCAGACACTGTGACTACCACGAGGAGACCGTCGAACATCTTCTCCTCCACTGCCCAAACCTGGCAGTTCTTCGACGCAAGTTCCTACACACACCTACAGACTTACAAAGCCTGCTCAACTCTGGCGCTGACCAGATGACAAGGACATGTGGTTATTTGAGGGAGGCATTGCGCTGCCAAGAGCGAAATGCTCGCAGCTAAAGGGATTTGAAAACAACATCTTATCTTAAATTAATTTGAGAGGCAGGATTAGTACGCATCAACAAGAATAAAGAAACAGTTTGAAATTGTTACCCTCTTTTCATCTTGACCGTGGACATTTACCAGAGAAAAACCACTATGAGAGGCCTCAGCGTTCTATTGTTAGTTTAGTTTTAGTAAGAGTTTTACAGCACTCGCAACACAATAAGGTCATATAAGTGCCGAAGATTAGAGGTGTTACAAGAGAGTAACAAACACAAAAAAGAAAGAGGGGAGATAGAGAAGATAGATAGATTTTTTTATAGGAAAGAAGGCGCAAACCACAACAGAGCACCTGCCAACCACCCACCACCATGATTAATATACAATATACTTCTGTGTCGCACACATACACTTGTTTTAAAATATATAAATATAGACTGTGCACTTTGACGTCGTTTCGGTTCACTATGGAGCGTACCATTTGACTCAAATTCAGCAAAATGATGGGCACAGAGGGGAGGGGAGGGTGTCATGTCCTCTCCACTAGTCAGACTGGTGTTCTTGCCTTTATTTCAATTTGGATGTAATGGTGTGGCCCAAGGTGCACACATGGGTGGCTGGCGGGTGCTCTGGTGTGGCTTGCTCCTTCTTTTCTATCAAACAACTATCGTCTTTTAAATCTCTCCTCCTTTTTTATGTTTATTTGAAAACAACAACATCAACATCTTATTTCATCTCAGACCCTTTGAGTGGAAAACACGACAGACAAACCGCACGTACCGTCGACTGAGTGATGCTGTCCGGGTGCTTCCTCAGCTGCCCCTTCACGTACATCATTGTGCTTGCGATGTAGCGCACGTGTTTGGAGGAGTTCGCAACCATGGCGACAGCATCAGCACATCTGTAATTGATATTTTTAAAAATTAAGGACGCTGATAAATGGTCGCTTTCAAGCACAAGGGGGCTATTCCGAAAAATGCTGTTTTGAGAAAATTGAAGGTAAAGAGTTTGCCCTTTGCTCAGTTTTTTTTTTAAGACAAGGAGAGTTTTCTCTACAACCAAACAAAAATACACACCAATGAAACCAAACTTCTCCTAAAGGCAGGGCAATGCCCACTTTTGGTGTAAGTCAAAATTTCTGGAAACCCCCGAAATCCGGGTTAACCTTCTTGTCCTTAAAAGTCATACATATACAGTCACGCATGCACAAAGCAAAATCAGAGGGAGGTGGAAAATGGAAATCTTGTCATGTAAGAATTTCAATTTGTGCGTATTTTAAATTAGATTACGGATGATATTTTAACATTGTTTTCTTCTGTTTCGTTATTTCCTTCCTGGCTTCTAATTGTAAAAATAAGTGCCTAAGCCATGGTTCCGACTTCGGTTCTCAAAACGTCACAAAATGACTTAGGCACTGGTGGAATGACGCCGACAAAATGGAGCAGTACGAGTACCTGTAAGCCAAGACAGTGGCTTTAAAAATAAAAAGCTCACGTGATTCGTTTGTTGTAGTGGATAGACACCAGGCAGGAGGGCTCCCAGTCCTTCTTGTGGATGGTCTGCACCGCGTCTAAGATTTTCTTCCTGGCACCAACTTGTGACACCCCAGCCTGAAACCAGAACGAAGAAAAAAATGAACCTGCACACCTGATGAACCGAAAGATTTGACCGTGAAACCTGCAGTCTAGATATAATATGTGTCGCCCTAGATCAGTCAGATGTAACCTCTGAGTCCATCTCCTTTAGTTTTAGTTAAGTAAGGATTTTACGGCGTGCCGAAGATTAGAGGTGTTACAAGAGAGTAACAAACACAAAAAAGAAGGAGGGGAAGACAAATACGATAGATGTTTGATAGGAAAGAAGAAGCAAACCGCACAAGAGCACCCGCCAACCATACCCACTCCATCTTCAAAAGGACACTGCCAAAAACAGAAATTTCATGTAAAGCGCACAATAACCATCATTTAGTACAGGGAAAAAAGAAGACTGATAGAAATGAACAAAAAAGGAAAAAACAAAAAACAAAAACAACCCACTAGCAGCACCCTCCAACCACCCACACAGCGTGTTACGTAACACCCTCCAACCACCCACACAGCGTGTTACGTTACACAGCACCCTCCAACCACCCACACAGCGTGTGACGTAACACCCTCCAACAACCCACACCGCGTGACACCTACACTAATGAGATCCTGCTCCGTCAGCGTGAGCAAAAGGTTGAGGTCAATCAGCTGTTGTTGGAACACGCGCACCAAGTGGGGAAGGTCAAGGCCGATGAGGAAAACTTCCAGCTCGCCGTACCTCAGGTCAGTCAGTCTAAGGGGAACAAGCAGTTAAATTTAGTTCAGTTTTCGTAAGAATTTTACGACTTTTGCACGCCAAATAGGTTATATAAATGCCGAAGATTAGAGGTGTTACTAGAGAGTGGCATAGGAGCAGAGATAGTTTTAGTTTTAGTAGAGGTTTTACAGCGCTCGCAACTGCATAAGGTCATATGAGCGCCAGAAGATTAGAGGTGTTGCAAGAGAGTAACAAACAAAAAGAAGAAGGGGAGATAAAGACGATAAATGTTTGACAGGAAAGAAGAAGCAACCACACCAGAGCACCCGCCACCCACCCACTGGAGCAGAGATAAGGACAAAGAACGTTTGATAAGAAAGAAGGAGCAAACCACACAGCAATGCCCGTCAAGGACAACAGGTTCTGAGAGGGGGGATACAACGTTCCAGGAAAACAGACCCCATTAACACTTTGCTGTCACATCTCGCTGATCGGCGATTCCCCCCCCCCTCCGGTTTCTTTGGATTTTCCTCAAAATGCCTTTGCCCTTAATGGCAAGGGTTTTTACTATATGAGCCTTGTGATGGCAAAGTGTTAACACCCCCCCCCAAAAAAAAACAACCCACTGGAATCAAATGTGCGCCCTTACTTGGCTTGAGCTTCTCCCGAGTCCAGAGTGCAGTGAGACAGCTCCGCAGGCAGCTGGCCGGTTGTGGCCGACATTTTGGCCGTCTCGATCACCGTGTCTCCGGAACTGTTCACAATGTTGGCGGGCCGTCGCTCGAGCAGAGCCAGCATCTTAAAATATCACAGAGGGGAAGAGTTTTGAACGAAGCCAACATCTTAGTTTTAGTGAGTTTTGCAGTACTTGCAACATAATAAGGTCATATAAGCGCCGAAGATTAGAGGTGTTACAAGAGAGTAACAAACATAAAAAAGGAGGAGAGATAAAGACGATAGTTGTTTGATAGGAAAGAAGGAGCAAACCACACCAGAGCACCCGCCAACCACCCACAGCCAACGTCTGAAAATATCACAGAGGGGAAGAGTTTTAAACAAAACCAACATCTAAAAATATCACAGAAGGGAAGAATTTCAACCGAAACCAACATCTAAAAATATCACAGAAGTAAAAATTACGAGCAAAGAGAGCAACTGAAAATGTCAAAGAGGGGAAGAGTTTTCAGCAAATCCAACGTCTAAAAATATCACGTTATGTCGGTGGAAATTTCGAGCAAAGAGAGCACCTGAAAAAAACCCACAGAGAGAAGAGTTTCATACACTTCCAAAACACATGATAAAACTAGTACAAATGATGAAAGTACACATTTTACATCTCCATCGATTCAATTTAGATCACTCAGGAGGCGGGTTGTTTCAAACCAGAGTGTACGAGTGTCGGTTGAAGAAAAGTCTTTGCTGGAAACATCAAATCTGCGAATTTCTTGTGGTAAGGCTTTCATTTGGCCTTTTTTGTGTGACTTTATTTCGGAGTGTGGCAGTGGCACCCCACCCAAATAATCACCTCGTCAGACGGCAAGTGAGCGGCCAAATCTTTGACGGTCAGTTTGTCCAGGTGCTGTATGTTACAGTCGGCTCCGGCGTCCAGAAGTTCCACAACGATGGCCTTACGCTGACGCTGGGTGGCCCACGTTAGAGCCTGGGAGGAGAGGGGAAAAAAAGGCAAGATTAGTTTTTAGTTTTAGTAAGAGTTTGTTTTAGTAGAGGTTTTACGGCGCTCGCAACTGCATAAGGTCATATGAGTGCCAGAAGATTAGAGGTGTTACAAGAGAGTAACAAACATAAAAAAAAGAAAAAGGGGTGATAAGGACGATAGATGTTTGATAGGAAAGGAGCAAACCACATCAGAGCAACCGCCAACCACCCACAGTAAGAGTGTTACGGCACTTGCAATACAGTAAGGTCATATAAGATTAGAGGTGTTACAAGAGAGTAACAAACACAAAATAGAAGGAGGGGAGAAAAGGACGATAGATGTTTGATAGGCTGTCCCCGTGGTTTTATGCACCTCGCATAATTTAGCCAAATTTGATCATTTTATGCATACTTTCTGATTATTTTCCTTTATCATTCTTTGTTAAAATTAACAGAATCGCATAATTTCACATTTTTGGGCTCAGTTTGCGTAATTTCAGATTTTTTGTTGTTGCATAAAACCGCTGGGACAGGATAGGAAAGAGGGAGCAAACCACACCAGAGCACCTGCCAACCACCTGCAGGCAAGGTTACAAACAAAATTTACAGTCCAGCATGCATATAGAGAAAATGCACATTCAAGTAGTGAATAGATTTTCAGGTCCAAAAGTTTTTCTTATACTTACGTAGATTCTTAGTATTTGAAACACATACATGTACATAATGAACAGATTTTCGTCTCTCGCTAATTCGTTAAGTGTGTGCAAGAATGTAATTGTAAGTGTATAATGCCTTTATCCTCATCAATCTACATTAATTAGGGATGAGAAAGTAATGGTTCCACTTGAGATATATAGACAATATAGCAGTGAGAACATCTAGCCAGAGATCAGATGGAAACAGAGGAAGAGGCAGGCCCCCAAAAAGACGGATAGAGGGGATTAGAGAAACGTTAAACAAAAACAACCTAACCATGCGACAGGCGGTACAACAAGCACGAGAAAGATGTTTGCATCTCCCTTCCACACTGTAAGGTGACAGGGGTCGGCATAAGTAAAAAAAAAGTACAGATTAGGAGTCTAGCTGTTTTCACCCTGCCTATCTGAAGGGCCATCCAGGGTGTAGGATCAGCATCACAGCAGAGAGAGGGAGGGAGGGAGGGAGAGAGAGAGAGAGAGAGAGAGAGAGAGAGAGAGAGAAAGAGACAGAGAGAGAGACAGACAGACAGAGAGAGGCCAGGGACTTACGGTCCAGCCTTTGGAGTCCTGAGCATTGACCGCTGCCCCGAGTCGTAGGAGCTGCCTGACGGCCGACACATGTCCCTCGCGACACGCCAGCATCAGAGACGTCGTGTGGTGCCTGGACAGACAGTTTAGTTATAATAATAATAATAAATAGCATTTGTATAGGGTATATCCCCGCTCAACAGCAAGCTCTATGCGCTTTACACTATATTATTACCCCAGCAGACCATAGAACACTCCGAAACATTTTCAGCTTCCCGGGAAGCATACAGTGCAAGCAGCTGATTAAGCGCTCAAACACTAACAAATTGACAAGATCTTTCGCTGTCTATAGCCGGTTACCCATTTCCACCTGGGTGAAGTTAGGAAAATTCGTGTAAAGCGCCTTTCCCAAGGACACAACGGAAAGGAAAAAGGTAAGAATTTCCAATGGCACCCTCCAGCCAGCCATGAGCAGAGATGAGTAATTGTAAACGTTTAAGTTAAGCTATAGAGCAAATTTTACAATAATGGGAATACACCTACACAAAAGAGACCCATATTTCCCCGTCACCCATCTGTCTAGGCTCTACAACACTGGGTACACACCTGCACTAAAATCCACCTGCACTAAAACACACCTGTACTAAAATCCACCAGTAGGCTACTAAAACACACCTGTACTAAAATCCACCAGTAGGCTACTAAAACACACCTGTACTAAAACACACCTGCACAAAAGAGACCAACCACTGGGAACACACCTGTACTACAACACACCTGTACTAAAACACACCTGTACTAAAACATGCCTGTACTAAAACACACCTGTACTAAAACACACCTGTACTGAAACACACCTGTACTGAAACACGCCTGTACTAAAACACACCTGTACTGAAACACGCCTGTACTAAAACACACCTGTACTGAAACACGCCTGTACTAAAACACACCTGTACTAAAACACACCTGCCCAAAAGAGACGCACCTGTCTTTGGCGTTGACGTCTGCCCCGGCCTCCACCAGCAGGCTGACACATTCTCCGACCTGTTCGTCCATCCCCGAGCACGCATTACACGAGGCCATCAGGGGGCAGTACATGTCTGCACAAAGATTGGACACGGGACTGGTGAACGGTGGAGTTTATTGAGAGTAGAGAGAAGCACATTGAAGAGACAACGGTTATTAAATGCAGGGAAAAAGGTAAGACGGACAGACAGACTGAGACAAGGGAGGGAAAAGTAAAGATCTGTCTCCACTGCTCAATATCAGTCGTAAGACGCAGTGTGCTATTGTCAGCTACGAGGCTCGAAAGACAAAAAAGTGACTTTTCATGAAATTTTTGTTTATTGGATCTATTGAAAGTTTGATGTCTTCTGCTTCACTTAAGATAAAAATAAACAACTATAATCGACTATACATATTTTATTTTGACTTATTTTGGAGGTGTGAGTGGTTTATTGCGAGCTTGGGTGACGAGATAAAGGAATTTGGACCATGTTAGTGTGTAGCTGTGAGATTATTTTTAGAACTATTACCTCATGGCCATCTTTGCTTCAACCAAAGATTCTCCAACAGTGGAGTACCTTCGCTTCAACGTTCTTCATTCGCATCTATTTTTAGATTTTGACCCCCTTTCGAGCATGAAAGGTCAGAAATGTAAACAACTCTGATTGGTAAAACGGAGTAAAAACTGTAACTTCTAGCTCACTTCAAGCTTGTTTACGTAAACAGCTGACTGTGTGGGCGTGCCCTGCTAGCGGTTATCATCTGTCGATCTTTCAGTTTTACACTTGGATCGACTTTAAAAATTCGTTTTTATTGTGTTTTAGCGCTTTTATAAGATTTATTAACCTTCCTCTAGATCCCTCAAAGTGGACTCCTTACCAAGAGGCCACCGAGGCGGTCTATGCGCATGTGTGTGTGTATGTGTGCTGGTATGTTTGTATATGTGCATGTGTGTGTATGTGTGCTGGTATGTTTGTATGTGTGTGTGTGCGTGCGTGCGTGTGTGTGTGTGTGTGAGAGAGAGTGTTTTTGTAACACTTCTTCTGTGTGCATATGAGCAAAGATTAATTGTTCAGTTGGTACAGTATCGTGTATTTATGACTTTGTACTTGCGTTTATTCAAAGTGCCTTGATCTGCATTCAAACAGCTTGACATTATTACTTGAAACTGTTCGTGAAGTGGGCACAACACACAGAAATATTGAAAGCAATGAATGTAGGACTTTTTGTCCGGCAAATCTGTAAAATATTTATACATTTGTGAGGCAGCATGGTGAAATCAGGTGCTCGTCAAAATAACGAAATTGGAGAAAAGGCATTTTTCCACCAGTTTGGAAATTTTGATTGAATTTCTATTTTTTGACTTACCTCTTTCATTTTATATCCATATAAAAACATATTTCCATGTGAATTTTTTGGAAAAACATTTATTAAATGCACAAAATATGTCATTTTTCATTTTTCAAAGACTCTTAGCTATTGGAGTTACCAAACTTTGACGGCTATTTTCTCGCTAATTTCGCCACTGAAATCAGGCAACCTCACTTCCTTCAATCGCAGATATCTTGAGTTCTATTCAAGATAAATGAATATTTATTCATTGGAACCAAGGAAAATAAATCAACTTTCAGATAATACCAATAACTCCACATGCCCCAAAAATTGACGAGCGCCTGATTCCTCAGAGTTGCGACACATTTATACATTTCACTGGGAAATAAGAAAAGAACCACCGACCTACGGCGTGTTTTGGATTAGCGCCGTGCTTCAAGAGGAGCCCAACAGCCTCCACCTGCACGTAGTTTCCGGCAAACATCAGAGCTGTCCATCCATGGCGGAGCGCCTCATCCACGCAGATTCCTGGAACAGAAACAAAAACAAAACAAAAACATTTTTTGTTTTGTTTTTAGTAAGAGTTTTACAGCATTTGCAACACAATATTATGGTCATATAAGTGCTGAAGATTAGAGGAGCTACAAGAGAGTAACAAACACAAAAAAGAAGCGAGGGAAGAAAAAGAAGATAAATGTTTGATAGGAAAAAAAGAAGCAAACCACACAGGAGCACCAGCCAACCACCCACCCGCGACTAGTTCGACCAGCAAAGAAATAAACGTTGTTTTGTGGGTGGTTGGCGGGTGCTCTGGTGTGGTTTCCTTCTTTTTTTCCTATCAAACAATTATCGTCTTTATTTTCCCTTGCTTCTCTTTTGTGTTCGTTACTCTCTTGTAACACCTCTAATCTTCGCCACTTATATGACCTTACTGTGCTGTAAGTGCCGTAAAACTCTTACTGAAACTAAACTAGTCCAGCACGCACATTGTGAAACACACACATGGCAAACAGATTTTCAAGTCCCAAATTTTTCCTTACATACATGTGTATACTCTTTGTATTTAAAGCATATAAATATACATCTTAAAATTTGTACATAACAAAAAGATTTCTGCCTCCGCCTGATTTCAGCGTGGTCGTGCAACACTGCATCATGTTTTATTTGAAAAAATTACGAAATTCTTTGTCAAATGTAATACATCTTAAACTGTAAAGTAAGTATAACATTCACTGTGAAAGTGGGACTTGATAAAGGAGAAAATTTTATTTATATTGATGAGTCCTGGACCAGACAAGCGGTTTAGAATACTGGTGAAAGCGACCACAATATGAATAACTCCTCGTGAGATAAAAATAATAATAATAAATACCATTTGTATAGCGCATAACCCTGCTCGACAGCAGGCTCTATGCGCTTTACACTATATTATTACCCCAGCAGACCATAGAACACTCAGAAACATTCTCAGCTTCCCGGGAAGCATACAGTGCAAGCAGCTGATTAAGCGCTCAAACACTAACAAACTGACAAGATCTTTCACTGTCTATAGCTGGGTACCCATTCCCACCTGGGTGAAGTGAGGAAAACTCGAGTAAAGTGCCTTTCCCAAAGGACACAACCCAGATCCCTGACAGGATTCGAACCCACGACCTTACGGTTGCGAGCCCGAGAGCCTAACCAAAGTTTGTTACTACCATTCGAATATGACGACTTACAACAACAATGTTGACAGAATTAATTAAAAAGTATAATTTAGAAGAGAGGTAAGTGAATGAAAAAAAAGCAAAGTACATTATGTTTCTATTTAACACATCCAGCTTGCTGTACTCTGAGGGTTTTTTTGTTTTTGTAAAGTGTTTTACGGCGCTCGCAACTGCATAAGGTCATATGAGCGTGCGGGACACACCTAATATTTTCAGTTGGTAGGAAATTTTGAATTTTGCCCGGGTGGCGGCCGAAGCCTACTCTTATCGATTTTAGACCACCAAGGGATCTTTAACGTGCACAACTTGCACACGGGCCCTCCGAGATTTTTCACCCTTGTCCGAGAAGGCTAGGTGTAGATCTTTCCTACCAGAAGATCAGGGGTGTGGCAGAAAGACAGCAGTAAGGAGGAGCCAAGGAGTAGCAGCAGAAAGGCTGCAGAAAGAGTCAGGAGCCCAGAGGAGGGGCAAAGGAGGTGAGGGGGTGGGGGCAGAAAGTGGAAATGAAAGCAGACAACAGATCATTGCTAGAGAGCAGGAAAGGAGGTGAAAGGAGATAATTTTAGAGAAGAAAATTTTTCTGTCGCTACCCGGATTCGAACCCGGGACCTTTGAATGAGAGGCCAACACCTTAACCTCTAGGCCACGAGAGCTCCCTACTCTGAGTTTCATTGTGCTTAAAATCTACAAACCGTGAAAAGCGAACTATGATTTTTTCAGAACAAAAAGCAAACATTTTTTTCCAGCACTGAATAAATTGTTTGCCATTACGAATTTCTTAAACACCTTGCTCCAAACATCGTTCGATAACATTCAAATTTCCTCGGACAGCAGCTCGTTGATAGTCTTCAGCAGTAAGAAAACTGCTAGCAGGAAATGCAGCGAAATTGGGAACCCATGGAGTACGTTCTGACGAGGAAAATCTGTAAAATATAAACAGGCACAGATACTGTAAAGTAGAAATTGTTAAAAAATGTGTGGATTTTTTAAACTTTCAGACATTGTAGGACTGTGTAATGTCCACTTATATTGACATAGTGTTACACTTTATTATAGGATAATAAAAACACCACTACTGAAACATCAAAAGAGACACTCCCCCCCCCCCCTTAAAATCGTATTTTGAGTAAACAAGAGGGAATTCTTTTTTTCCCTATGCCTCAGTAAGATGTCCTGTTTTGATGTTTTCATATAGCAAAAATAACTACTTAAGGTTAAAGTACTTTGTTCTTTACAAATTACAACCAGAGAGCTTATCACTAATTCTCCAGGCATTTTTATATGATATAAATGGGCAAACACTGCTCGAAATAAAAAAAGACTTTGTACATTGTACATTTAACCAACCTTACCTCATAGCAAAAAATAATAAAATTAATAACTTTTAATTCATTGATGATAAAACTTTAGTCTCAAGAAAAATCCAAACAACGCTTAATAAAATTTGAAAAATAAATAAATAAATTGATAAAAAAAAAAAATTCCATTCCATATATCAAAAGCCAAACCCCCCTCCCCCCCCCAAATGCAGTGCACCAACATTTGGATCAAAAGAGCAATATTTCCTTAAATGAAACAAAAATCATTTATATGTCATGTCATGTCATGGTGGATGGAATCAGGCGCTCATCAATTTTCGGCATATAGAGTTATTGGTATAATCTACAGCCTGTTCATTTGCCTTGCATTTGATGAAAAAAATACCCTCTCTATTCTGAGCAGACCTTGAGGTATTTGTGATTGAAGGAGATGGGGGTCGCCTGGTGTCAGAGGTAAAATTAGCGAGAAAACAGCCACAAAAGCTGTAATGTCCTTGGGAAGTGCACACAGTTTTGGTGCCTTTGACCAACGTTTTTCAATAAAAATCAAGCAGTGATGTGTCTTTAAATTGACAAAAATAAAAAGTGCTGATTCCAAAAACAAAAACAAAAAATCTATAAAAATTGCTGCGTCATCATCTGACGATCGCCCGATTTCAACACAATGAGAGGCTATGTCACATAATATATGTTTACAAACTTCTAATTGAAAGGAAATCATTAAAGACTTTCTTTAATGCTTTACTCACTTTGAACTGGGCTCCTCTCTGTTAGGCACATTTCTAGAGAAAAGTGGTTGGGGAAGAGATCCATTTTTTCTTCCATTATTGTTCTGGAGAAAAAAATAGGAATACATAGTTTACTCTTTAATTTTCAAATTAGCCATTCTGTAAAGGAGAGAATGGCTGGACAGCCTCTTTTCCTCTATCCTTTACAACTAATGCAAATGAAATTAAGAAATTTTTACGAAATCAGGTCTTTTTCCTTTTTAAATAGAACAACAAATATCATTTTGTAAGTACATTTGCTGAAGTCTACAACTAAACTTAATAAACATTATTTTGGAAAGTATTTTGTATATTGCATCACGTGAGGAGGGTGTATTTCAAAAGGTTAGATGTCATCATGACCAGACCAACATAGGCTCCAAACAAAATCAGGGGGTACTTAAATATTTCATTTGCAATTTTCATGTCTTTTAATTAAATGGAGGTGGTATATGAGGACACGACCGTAACCTCGTTTGCCAACAAAGATCACTTTCATCAAAACTGTTTTTTCGGGCATTTAGAACCTGTAATATCAGAATGATCAAAGGAAAAACCAGCAATTTTCAATTAAATGTATTACATGTCATTTGTGTTGATATAATAAAAAAAAAAATCAGACAAGTGCATCCATGTTACTCGTGTATTATGTCCTACCGACAGTGATAAAAGCACAAAGTTACTGCCAGAACTGTCAATGTAAGGCCAGTCCCAGAGTGGCTCTGTAGGTCTGACCTGTAGCTCCTCAAGCGCGCGCAGTCTGCATGTCAGCACAGCCTTACTGTGCTTTGGCTTCTATGTCTGAGTGAGCGCCCTCTGCATATCAGCACATCGAAACTAGGTCAACCTCTCGATTCGAAATTTTAAGGTTGGATAAAGTGCACTTCTTTTGATTTTGTGGTCAAGTGTTGATGCTAGCATCAATATCTAATAGTAAAGCACCTCTAACAATACTTACTTCTAGCTGATTTCAATAATCTGTGAAGAATTTCAGTCGAAAATAAACACGAAGCGAGGCAGCGTGCTAGACATTTCAGACGTGTTTTACCACACTGTTGAATAGCACGTCTGACGCGTTGCGCAGCTCAGCGGGCAACAGACAGACCATACAGTGACACTGCTCAGGCACGCGATAATGTATGTTCACTTGCACGGTGCGAGCTACAGGTCAGACCTACAGAGCCACTCTGAGACCGGCCTAGTGTGTGATCTCCTCAACTTCACAGTCAGTCAGTTTATATCTACAACACTTGTTAAAAGTATCATGTATACAGTCGAACCTGCTCTCTGTCTTGAACGGTCATCTGTACAAACTGCCACTTCACATTACCTCCCTTGGGCATTTTTTGACATTATGACACTGTAAAACGTCTACCTGTCTAAGACAATCAACTTTCTCCTAGACTTTACAATTGGTGGCTGTCTTAGACAATTTGACTGTACTGTACGTTTCGTCATTTCTACAGAAAACACACAAAGCTTATCCAGAAAAAGTGTAGGCCTATGCAAATCTAGTTGAGATACATTAGGGTAGAAGGTAAAATTTTAATTCCCTCCTGCACACAGATGCACTGCTTTGGGGGTCAAACTGCAGTAATTTTTGCTGCAGATCACAAACAGCCACTAAAACTGTCGTAAATCAATTATTTTCAAGAAAATTAAAAACCTTTGCGCAACATCAAATTATTGGGAAAAACAGGGTGGACCCCCTGTACCCCCAAAGATTTTTTTTTAACTTAGGAGGGCATGCCCCCCTGAAACCCCCCAAATTACTACACAATTAGGCTTAGCAATAATATACAGTTCGAAAAATAGAAACTATCATGATCACATATAGTATAGATCTAGAGGCCCTATTTAAAAAACTATAAATTAATTTGTGACGAAGGTAAAGTCAGTATTCGTAAACCTAAAACAGATAAAAATGAACAAGAAAGGAAAGGGCTTTACAAAACCTGAATTTTGTTTTAGTAAGGTTTTACGGTGCTCTCAAAGTAACTCTGCATTAGTAGTTCATTTTATGAGTGCCAAGGGGTGGATGTCAACAGAGAAGTCCAAACAGGGAATCACGATTACTCTGCTCACCTCTCTAGCCTTAACAGCACAAAGTCTGCTTCGAATAAAAATTCAAGGCACCCCGGAAATAGCAGTTCACAAGAGAGTAGAGAGTGACAAACATAATTTATAAAAGAAGTTGGCCCTGGTAGTAGGAAAATGAAGGTAGTTGATAGTAGTAGTAAGGATGAGGAAAGTTCCCCCAGCCCCATGTTTTCCGGCACAGTATGGGCATGACATTGAAAAATCAGCCTATTTATCTACTGTGCATAAGAACATGTTAATATCCCAACTTTGGGAATGGCCTAAAGACAACTTCAGTCAGAATGCACTGCCCAGGACAGCCTGACAGGGGGGTGGGGGGGCAAACCTGAGTATGAGACTAGTTGTGAAAATAAAGGCTAATAAAGGAATAGGGGCCTACCGTTAGGTTAGGTTTCGTGCGCACAAACAAAAAAGTCTTCAGGCAGACTTCTTTAAACATTTCACTTACTGAGTATGAGTTGTTCCTGTTATAATTATTCAAAGTGCGTTCAGGTTCTGATCGTTGTGGCACATTATTACTGGGAGGGTCATCTTCATCGAGTGACCATTCATCAGAGTAATCGCCATCCTCCTCTCCTGCAGGAAGGTATGCCATAAGATAAGATCCGAGTTTTTAGTCAAAACAACCGGGGAAGAGTCAATGCTTCAGCCTGCACCTTCACACATACACACATTCAGACTTTGGCACCATTTATCTGAGCCTCAAAGTGGCCTACTCAGACAGGTGGGAAATCAAAACCGAAAGTAGAGTAATTTGATTTCTTTCATTCATCCGTGTTTGTCTTCCCGGGTTTTTTTTTCAAATCAACATAATTTCCCAAAGACGATTTTAATCTTTTTTTTTCAGTCGAAAGGAAAATAAATCATACATCTGTTTAAAAAAAGAAGCCAAGCCCAAAATGCATGTTCAATAAATTAAAATATCATGTACCGTAAATGAATACTTTCAAAGTTGCATGATATTAACAATTCAAAATTTCAAAGGTACATTCAACTCGATCGGACAGCGGACGGCTTTACAACTGTCCAATCTGGATAATATGGAGATCTTTGTTTTCATAAACCTGGACTGGCCAACTCTTTCTTATATCAAAGTATTTTTTAAACTCAAGAGATCAAAAAAAAATTGCATTTTTCGATATTTTGCAGTTTTTTTATATAGCAAAAATGTTAATTTGTAAACATCATAAAGGGATCAACCTATCCAGCATCAAATCCATGTATTATCTATCTCTATGGTCACGGCCAACGCTATGGCCGACTGGGCGAGTTGGGGTCTTGGGAGAGGGATTAGGATCAGCTCTCTCTAGACGACTTACTCGTTCTCCCGGTACTGAATACCTGTACGCGTCAACGTATGTTGGCATTCATACCCGAGGAAATAGTGTTGACGGGTAAGTCCAGCTTAACTTATGGACTGGTGTTTTAGATTGTGCGATTAACGAGGTATAATTGTGGACCACAGGAGGCACAGCGGGGTGTTTAGTTTATCACTGTTAGTAGAGTAGGCCTAGATCTAGCAGTTTTTAATAAGATTTTGTAAAGTGCTTGCGTTCAGCTCTTTGTCGTGAGCGCATTATCGAGAACATTACTATGATTGCCCTCTTTAATATGTTCCCTTAGCTGCACTCTTGAGACTAGTATAACTTATAAGCCTTCAAGACTATAGACCATAGAGATCGATGCCTCGATCGCTTGTCTTTCATACTTTTACGTTTAGCCTAGGTTTTAGGTCTGTTTTGTGAATATAACGTTTCTTCATTAATTTTAATTGGTAAAAACTCTAATTAAATCATGAGTTATTATAAAAGAAAGTGCTCCACCCTGTTTCTCTTCTAGATCTATTTTACTCAAGAAAGAATAGCAGAAAATGAAAAAGCTTTGAGGAGATGGTGAAAATACTAAAGAAAAAACAAAGCCTGCACCAACAAAACAGATTACAAATAATATTATTAACCAGCATCGTACATATCTGATCATTTTATATTGTCATATCATGTACAAGTTCTAGGTACATATATACAATTAAGGTCATTTTCCAAAATTCAATTAAAAAGACAACTCTAAAGTATATTCTTTATTTACTCATGAAATAATGAATGATTACCATGCCAAAGCTTTTTTGAAACTTATTTCCTTTTCTCCTGTTCAGTATAAATGTCATAATATTTTTTCTCCCACTTTATTTGCTCTTATCCTTGATTTGACAAAGCTACTAAATATAAAGTGTCCTGAAAAACAACCCCTCGTTCCGTGCAGCTCCCGGCCCAGGTCTGCCTCAAATCATAGGGCTAGGCTGATTTCCTTTCTAATATAGAGACAGAAAACAAGAGTGGGAACTAAAGCCTAGTGATACTATGTTTGCATATGTGTGTGTGTGTGTGTGTGTGTGTGTGTGTGTGTGTGTGTGTGTGTGTGTTAGTGAGGGATTAAAATCAGAAGAGAGAATTAAATAGACTACAATAACATTTATTTTAGTTAGAAATAAGATGAGGGTTTAAAAAAAATATTTTGATAATGCATGTAGATTATAGGCCTTTCCATACGTTAAAAGCTGACATAGCTAAATTTTAAAATTTAGTTACATGCAGTGGGTCACAAAATGTCAAGCATATGCCATAACTTTAATTTGTCTCTTTTGACTTGTTGGCGTACTTCTAGACCTGCACTGTCATCGCCCCCACTTTTTGCCTCATATGAAAACTTTGTTATAAAGTGTGCACGCAATGAGCCACATTATTATGTGCAAATGAAAGGCAAAACAGCAGCGTCTCGCTATGATTGAGTGCACGCACCTCCATATCCACCCCCCCCCCCCTCACTCCTCTGTTCGTTCCCATATATATATGCTTTAGATTTACAGCCGTGAATTCACGTGTCAAATAACCTTTAGGTGGAAAAGATGCTTTTACTTGAATTTTTGTAAATTTCAAACTTATAAAAATGAAGCAGAATAGTAGCCTATAAATACAATAATAGTAACATATGGGGACGCGGTAGAATCAGGCGCTGGTCAATTTTTGGGCGTATAGAGTTGTAATATTGTTCGGTTTGTGGGTACAAACAGATTTAGATAGAGTGAAGAAACGCACGCTTGAAAGAGCTCTTTGTTTCATTTTTATTCTCTAGTACACTGTAACCGAAAAGTGACTATAGTAAAAGAAAGGTACTGTCTAAATCCCGATACGTTACCTAACTTAACAGTTATAACAGAAGTGTTATGTTATGTACATTATTCCACAAGAGTTGTTAGTTATTTTAAACTTGTTCATTTGTCTTGTATTTGGCAAAAATAAATACCTATACTTATGTTGAAAAGAAGTTGAGAAGTTGAGAATTTTGCGATTGATCGGGGTGGTGGTTGCCAGCTGTCAGAGGGCAAAGTAGCGAGAAAATGCGGCCTCCAAAGTTTGGTGACTTCCAAAGCTTGACTGTCTTTGAAAACTGCACATTTACTGTTTTTGTGTCTTTGATCAACGTTTTATTAGTAAAAACCCACTTAGAAATGTGTTTCTTAACGGATGTAAAAGGCGTTGTACCAAAAAAAGAAATTTAGACAAAAAATTGTCCAACGGCCCTGAAAATACCAGATTCTTTAATTGCATTATTTTATCGGGCGCCTGATTTCACCACGCTGCCTCACATTTTTGTATCTGGTTTTGAATTAATATAGTTGATCTTTTGTTCAGGGGGTGTCCTTGTTCAAAGACGCCGGGCCATTTCATCTGCTTTTTCTGACTTGTCCCTTGACAAAGGTCTTCTACATTTCGATGACGCAGATACACAATGATATGGTGAGTAGACGAATATGCAGTGATGTGCTAACAGAAATATTTCTTATAGTCTTGTGTTTAGCGTCGTCGCAGAATAACGAATGATATTCAGTCTGACTCTAGATGTATCTTACGCCTGTGGAATATATGTATATGTATAACAGTCGAACCTGCTCTAACAACCACCTGTCCAAGGCAGTCACATTTATAAACAACCACTTCCCACTTCTCACCTTAACTTTTTTCTACATTATTTTGTCATTAATCAAGATGTCCACCTGTTTAATTAAGACAATTTCAACGCTTTAAGAAGCGAAATAAAACTTGATACCTTCAAAAGGGGACTCAAAAGCACATCTATTTAAGAAATATTTTTATTAATGGACAGCACCTTTGCCTTTTTGTATGAGCATTTTTTATTGTCTGAAAGAATGTTGCTGTCAAAAAGTGCGCACATGATGAATTTGTATGGTGTTAGTATGAATGCGTTTTTAATCTCCTATGTACGCCTTGGGCCCATGTTGTGGGGAAAGGCGGGATACAAATGCTCTCTTATAGTATGTGTGTCCTTTCCTGTAATTTATAGGCCTACTCTTCTTACCGTAGGCCTACCTGTTGTGAGAATCTGGGATTTGTTAGAGTTGTTTGGACAAGTCTGTTTGCCCAGCAAGTGGTTTAGTTGACTTCGAGTTAGCTCATTTTGTATTTGTTGAACCTGAGTTATTTTGTTGATTTTAATGAATAAACCTCCCATGGTGCAGGTGAGTTCATTGGTACCTTGGAAAAGAGTCGATAAACTTTGCAGCGGGAGATAAATGCATGAAGCCACATCAGAGGGGCAATTTGCCCAGCAAGTGGTTTAGTTGGACTCCGAGTTTGCTCATTTTTGTGTTTGTTGAACCTGAGTTATTTTGTTGATTTTAATGAATAAACTTGTCTCCCCCCCCCCCCCCCCCCCCCCTAAACAAACAGGGAATTTGTCATTTTGCTTTGAATCAGAGTTTTCATTGAATTGGACTTTGTTGTATCTGATTTTCACTGTATAACTCTTCAGCTTCCCAAAATTGTTAGTTTTTTAGTTTTCTTGAAAGCTTATCATCATTTATTGCTGGTCCAAATGTAAACAACTCTTGCATAAATGAAGCTGTTCTTGACCTTTCTTGATTTGCATTAACTGAACACTTTTGTTGTGTTTTTCCGTGTCATTTGTATAGCTTTAAGCTATTCTATTGTGTGAATGTATGCTGCAGTAGTGCATATTTTTGAAAGCCAGAGGAAAATAAATTCTCTTACAGAAGCATTGAAAAAAACTTCCTTTTTCTCAATGGTATTCACGTTTTCAGGGAGTTCGTGTTTGACCACTCCTGATGTGCTGAGACATCCAGAAAGGACTACATAATGGTGTGTTTTTGTATTCTAATTGAAATTCTTCTGTATTCTTTAGTGATTTATCACTTTTTCATAATCTCTTAATAAGCTCATCATGTATGAAGAGTTTCATTCACATTGTTAATCTAGATCACAGATGCTCTAGTCTTTATTTTCTTTATACTTTGTAAGAATCTGGAATTTGTTAGAGTTGTGTGAACAATTTTCTATTCTCCCTGCAGTAAGTTTAGTATTGCACTGCTGAAAATTAATTATCTCGAATAATTTAAGTCATTCCTTGCAGTTTTGTATGTGAACAAACTTGTGTCAAAGGTCAAACTCTTTTCTTTCTTTTCCAACTTATGGAAATACATATCTGTCCTCACCGGCACTTCTAAATTCTATCATTCTGTTCACAAAGATTTTCAAAAGTCCATTGAAATGTCCATTTTTGCTTTTACTCGAAAACATATGTTATATCCAAATTCACTCACGTGAATAAACATTTTATTTGTTTTCCCTTTAGACATTAAAAAAAATCTTTTATGAAAAAAGAAAATGTATGTTTTTAAAAATCAATTCCATGAATTTAAGATATGAAATGAATTGTAAGTTCTATACTCCACAAAGAGTATCATATCATATTTGGCCCCTTCAAAACTGTTACAGTATGCAAAAATTTTGATTTTCATTATTTTGGAGATCAAAGCTTATCAAACAATTTGTGTAAGAGCAGAATAAAAGGAGGTAGATTTTATTTTTACAAAAGCGAGTACAAAATGTATTCCCTTGCGAGATTAGTCAGGTCAGTACATTTTATAAAAAATCAAGTGCAGTTTCATACATATAAAGAAGATGTAATATAAATCACATCTCAGTCACACTGGACTGTGATAACAATTGTTTGTCCTGTAGGAATTTTGTTTTTAAAAAATGAATGACACTTGCGAAGGCCATTCTTGAAGTTGTTTTGAATTATATTGCGCTGATTGCTTTTTAAAAAAGTGATCCCCCCTCCCCGATAACTATCAGACTGTAAAGAAAGTAAATTTAGTGCGCTTGCAACGTCTTATTCCATTAGATCTTTATCTTAATTTTACAAAACAATAACAGAGCAACAATTTCAAAGCCAGCTATTAAACAATCTGGTCATTATTTTACAGTAGGTTTTTCAAAGTGCAGTCAAACCTGTTTTAGCAACCACCTGTCCAAGACAACCACCTGTAAAAACGATCACTTTCCAATTAATTCTTCTCCTGCGCTTTTTTTTTCTTCTTTTTTTATATTGATTCTGTCCAAGAGGACCATCCATCTAAGAGCCACTGGCTTTTCTCCTTGACAATGAGCGGCCATCTTGGACAGATTCGGATATAGAAAAAAGTCTTTTTGTTTAAAGTGACAGATTCTGCCAAGGCTAATAGGGTTTGCTTGAAATTCCTGGCTCGTGACCTGTCAACTTCTCTTTCATTGCCACTCATTCCTTCTCTTTCTGCTAAATTCACTGTCACACTGAACTCTCCTTTGTTGTTATCATTTTGTTATTGGATTGATATTCTCTCAACAGTTGTGCATATTACAGACTTTAATTTTGGATTTTTAACTCTTGTGGTCCAAATCGCTCACAACAGGGAAAGAAAAAGGAGAAAAAGGGTAAGGAAAGAAAATCAAAGTCCTCTGAAGCGCCGCTTGAATCGAGTCCTGATGAAATTCAAGACGATGTCCCGCCCCCTCCCACACCAACCCTATCGGAGATAATGCTCAGTGACGTTGCTATGTTGAACTTGTACTACACAGCTCATGACGCGCCTCACGCGCTGCAGCTCAGAGGGTTTGAGTGGCCTGACAATCCCAAGAAGAAGAAGGGGAAGAAATGAGAACATGTGGAAGCAGAATTTTTAGAAAAGCTATACCCGACTGTGCAGATCTGACACAACTGGAGCAATGGTTAAACTAGTCGTAGTCACTTCAATCGGACAGAGAAGCGAAAGTCAGAGCGTCTGAGAATTTTGTGGATCTGCTTTTTAAACAGAACACCGTTAATTTGAAAACAATAGTAAACCGAAGGAAAATAGAATTGTTGATTTTTTTTCTTGGCTATTTGAGTAGTATCTCTAAACTGAAAACTTGACTAAGCCGAAGACAATCCTGTGGTTCCGCAGATTTCGGTTTAAGTGGACTCCGCTGCATTTGATGTAAAAAAAACTGCCAGCTTCTGTATTGAATGTGGAGGACAATCAGCCCACTTCTTAACAGAAGAATGGAACTGAAATAAACTCTAAACTGGTCTTATAATAAAAAGCCTTTATTAAACCTTTATTACATGTGTTTCAATATTCACGAAACTTTGAAACTTTGAATTTTCTTATTGATATTCTTCTAAATGAGGAGTAATTTGAAAATAGAATTCTTTGTTTTAAATGTAGGTGTATTTACACTCCGGTCGACACAATTTAGATTAGTTAACCCTATCCGTACATCGTGTTTTACTATCGCATCCATATAATGTGAGGAAATTTACTTGTTAATCCGATCTGTACGCATAGCACAGCAGTCTGTCAAAATGGTTTTTTGAGAAATACTGAAAGTTTCAAAGAAAGATCTTCGGACTAAAAGTATTCTAAAATGTGAAGGATACAACCCCTGGCGTACAAAATGACCCCGGGGCGTACGGATAGGTTTAAAAGGTGGGCTCCTTCCCTTTGTTTTTTGTTTTTGTAAAGTGTTCTACGGTGCTCGCAACTGCATAGGTCATATGAGCGCGCGGGACACACCTAATATTTTCAGTTGGTAGGAAATTTTGAATTTTGCCCGGGTGGCGGCCGAAGCCTACTCTTATCGATTTTAGACCACCAAGGGATCTTTAACGTGCGCAACTTGCACACGGGCCCTCCGAGATTTTTCGCCCTTGTCCGAGAAGGCTAGGTGTAGATCTTTCCTACCAGAAGATCAGGGGTGTGGCAGAAAGACAGCAGTCAGGAGGGGCCAAGGAGTAGCAGTAGAAAGGCTGCAGAAAGAGTCAGGAGCCCAGAGGAGGGGGCAAAGGAGGTGAGGGGGTGGGGGCAGAAAGTGGAAATGAAAGCAGACAACAGAACATTGCTAGAGAGCAGGAAAGGAGGTGAAAGGAGACAATTTTAGAGAAGAAAATTTTTTGATCGCTACCCGGATTCGAACCCGGGACCTTTGAATGAGAGGCCAACACCTTAACCTCTAGGCCACGAGAGCCCCCGTTCCTTCCCTGCCTGTCAGAGCTACCCGTGGACTGAGAGGGATACAACACCCCAGAACAAAGACCATAAGATACTTGGAAAAAATTCTCCCCACTCGGGAATTGAACGCATCCTCTGTGAGAAACAGAGAAGTGCCTAATCACCACGCCACAGATGCCAGACGTCTGAATTTGACAATTGATTTGATCTTTGACAGAGTTTTCAAGTCAAGGCATCTTGTTCATCTTCATGTACTTTGCACTCTGGATGTGTCTGTTCAAATTGTTTTTGCATTATTGTTTCTTATTTTACCAATGGACATTTTCTGATAATATTTCAAAAGCTTTTCAGTTTTCTTCATCCCTGGCTTTGTCTAGAGGCATTTCCTCTGTTGTTTGAGAGTGGAGAGCATGTTTTGTTGTTTTTCTTTTTCTTTGAGTATTTCAGATTCTCACGACATGGAAAAATCTAATACTGAAGAGGAATAATATTCTCAGTTCTCAAATATCAAGCCAATGTATTTGACGGCTCTGTTTCAAGTTTGACTATTGCACTTCAAAGTTCAAAGAACAAATTATAGAATCTCGAATTTCTTAAGACCACAGGGTGCTTGAAATTGAGAAAAATCTAGTGTTTTTAGAGAAAATTCAGTGTTAGGTAATATGTTGAGAGTTATGAATTACAAAGTCAGTGCAAGCTTTTTACTGTACTATAAGCTGATTTCTAATTAGAAATAAAGTGAACTAAATCTGGACCTAGAATTGTAGCCTACGTTATTAAGAAGCCTACTGTATTTTTTTTTCTTAATTACACTCATGGCAGTGTAGTGCACTTGAATTTCTGTCACACAGTTCTAATGCTGAGGTTAAGGGCTAATCAGCTGTTACAGATATTTGTGCTGTCAGGATTATCTATATCATTTAATATTTTACAAGAAATCAAAGTTTTGATATTGTTAAAAAGCACTTACTTTTTTATCCTTACCTTAATTGTTTATATCCTCACCACAAGACTATTTTGATTTTTTTAGATTACCTTACCAACATCAATAAGAAAAACAATTTCCAAACAGGATCTGGTTTACAAATGAATTTGTCATAATACAACCCAGTTAGAGGCGGACTGAATTTTTATAAATCATACCTAAATGTCATATTTTCTTTTCTTTTTTTTTTTTTTCATTTCAGGCGGGTAAAAAGTCAGCCAAGAAATCAGGCAAGAAATCTGGAAAGAGATCGAAGTCTGCGGGCTCAAAAAAATCCAAGAAGTCTGCCAAAAGTACAATCTCATCAGCGAAATCAACAGCAAGTGCCCCAGATTTGTTGCACCCTTCTGTCATGGAAAACTTATACTGTGTAGCCCACAATGCACCAGACGCCTTGGAAAAGACGGGATTTGGCTGGCCGGATGCATCAAAAGGAAAGAAAAAGAAGGGAGGGAAGAGAGGGAAAAAGAAGAAGAAGAAGTAAACTGTACCTTTATTGGCATGCTGTAGTCAATGTATCATAAGAAATATCATCAATGTTTAGCACATACTTATAGTGTTATTTTAATGTGCAACCAGTGCAGAGAAAATGCTGGTTCTTTGAGTTTGAGAGAATGAAAACTGCTTTGTCATTACTTTTGTCTTTACATCGTCAACACTCATCATTGATTTAACTAGAAACAGAGATTAAACAATGAAGGATTGTTGCAACTGATAGGAGTTGGTTGCTATCATTTTACAGAAGATCACAATTGTTTATTTTCTCATCAACCGTGCTATGAAGAGGCAGGGGTGTGTTGTCGATCATTGATACAAATATGGAAAGACTAGTGATTTATAATTTTTTTTGAAAAATTATTTTTAGGATTCTATTGTCTTCTTCTATTGTAGTGCTCCCTCATAAATGTCATGACAAAGTGGTTAAGGGAAGTAACTAAGCCTATCTATACCTGTTGCATGCCTTTTCATAGCGTCATCAGTGTGAAAGTATATGAGAAGTTGGTTTTGACCCTCATGCTTTTCCGGGGGCTCAGCTACTAATTCTTTTGTTACTGTTGATGACTGTGACTGTGACTCCGTGCCTTGCACTAAACATTTCTTTTTGGAAAGCTTTTCAATAAAAATTTAGTGTTATTTTTATTGCTGTGTGGCAGATATATGAACATTAAAAATGCTGCAAACAAGTAAATGCCATGGTGCCATTGCATATTAGATGGATGTACAGATATGTTGTTACGTTTTTACACCCTCAACTTTACAGAAATTGCCATGCTCTGCCAAAAGCGTTGTTTCTTTAACGATCTGGTTGACAACTTGCTGGCTTAAAGTTTTTCCTCTGTGGCCTATTTCATACTCTAGTTCTGCCTCTGTGTACATAGTTATGGTGCTTGATGGCGTTCAGAAAAACCTCACTGCGAAAGAGAAAGTTTTAAAATGATTTTGTTTGCCTGAGATTAAAGCCCTTTTTTGAATTTGGATGAAATAATGTTGGAAAACATTACAGGGGTAGAGAAATAAAGTGTTGTTTATTTTGATGTACCAAGAAAAATGTCTTGCATTTCAAGCTGGGTGAGACAAATATGTACATATGTGTATGTGGTTGTTTGTCAGGGTTTTTTTTTGTCCATTTCAAAAAGCCAAAATCTGCCAAAATCTAAAAATCTTTGACTTGAGATGTTGATCTTGATTTGGTACTATTAGTTCTACAGAGTGGCATACTGCTGGCAAGTAACAGCATTATCTTGTATATGGGATGTCTGCTTGCTTTTGATTTCTGAAAATGAAAGAAGCCATTTTCCAGTCTTTGTGTGTAAGAATGTTTAGTCTTGAAAGACTGATTGAAAACCCTTCCACCTCACATCATATTTATTTGTTCTTCCATTTCCACTGACAAAATAACAATGTTTATGCTATGGTCCTTCAGTAGCTCAATGTGATAGCAGTAGTGATACATTTGTCATTTATCCTGAATAAAGGTTGTGAATAACATTGTGGAGTAGCTCAGAAGATTTGACAAAGGAGAAAAATCAGAAAGTTTGATTGATGCGTTGAGATGTGTAGTCTGCCACAGAGGTTTCCACCATTTCATTTTGTTTCAGCAGTTGATTTTATTTCATTTGTTTTGAAACAGGCTTCCAATTTAGTTGTTTATTTTTGTCTGTTTTAGAAATGTCTAATTTTACTTTTGTTTTCCTTTCATTTTAATTGTATGTATGTACAAATGGCATTCAGATTGAAAATATAAAGACATGTTCGCAAGTGAGTCCTAGACTCTAGCTATTTCTCTGTACAAACTGATGGCGATAGCGACTTGGTTGGGGAGAGGAAAATGCAATGATAACTGATTTTGCTGGTGTTTTCAACCATGGTTTTTACTTTGCTGTCTCAGATCTTGTAACTTATGCCAACCCAACATGGCTTGTCTTCCAGACTGTCTCAGTATCTAATAATTGTTTTTATTGCTATCGACTCAATGGTTTTGAAGCTTTTGCCCTTCTGTTCTATTTCTTGTGATAGAATCTGCATCTTGTCTTCATCAGATATTTTGTTGTTCTCTGTTAGGAGCTTGAGACTGTCAGTGTTACATATGGACAAGAGTGCTCCCTTGGGTCTTGTAGATTTTTGCAGTGGAGAAACAGATTGTAGACTGTTTTATATTGGTCGAATTTCTTTGTGGGTTTGTGTGGTTTCATAGAAAGTGTCTGGGAAAGTGCTGGGTATCACATTTTACAATAGGGAAGACCTGAGTTTATTTCCTGTAAGTTGTTTGTTCTCATTTTTTATCGTCATCCTCAGAAACTTTTTTTCCTTGGATTTTCAAAGTGAACCTGTATGTGGTTCTACCTTCGTCTTTGGTTGCCCTGTTGTTAAGCCAGTTGTTGGTCGCGTTTGTTGAACTATAATTGTGAGGTAGCGTGGTGGAATCAGGCTCTTGTCAATTTTTGGGCATATAATGAGTTATTGGTATCATCTTAAAGCTTGTTCATTCGTCTTGCTTTCAATGAAAAAATTACCCATCCATCTTCAATAGAAGTGGAAATATTTCGGATTGAAGGAGGTGGGGGTCACCTGGTTTAAGAGGTAAAATTAGCGAGAAAATGGCCGCCAAAGCTTGGCAAATTCTAAAGTTGGAGAGTCCATGGAAACTGTAAATTTATATTTTTGTGCCTTTAATCAACGTTTTCGGTGAAATCCCCAAAGGAATGTGTTTGTAAATGGACATAAAAGGTGTTGAGCCAAAAACCAAAAATTTGATAAAAATCGCTAAGCAATGAGAAAACTGCTGTTTTCTTCGATTTCATTATTTTGACGAGAGCCTGATTCCACCACACTGCCTCACAATTAATTATTATTCAGCTTTTGTCATTTTGTGGAATTCCATGTAAGGTCTGTTGCTTTTTTCCCAGACATTATTGAGTGAATCACTATGGTGTTTTGTAGATATCTGTAAACTGTCATCTCTTGGAAATTGGTGCTATTTTGCACTTACCGGTACATGTTAAATCAATTTCATTTACAAACATCTGTAAAACAAAACTATTTCCCACTGTGGGCATACTTTTAACCTATTGTATATTTGTATGTGTACTTGGAAGGAATGGCATTTAGCCTAAAACTTGTGAAGTAATAAGTGTTGTTCAGTCAAAGTTATTGCTTTTTGTATTGTCTACTTTCGTTGCACATACTTTTCTAGCTAGTCAGTTGAACATGGCGTTATTTCCAGATTGCTTTAATTTCCCTTTGGTTGGTGTGCCCATTACTTGATTTGTTCAATAGATCATGACACTTATCCTGAATGTCAACTACAGTTTCAAAAAATAAAAATTTAATATTTCCTTCAGCAGATGTTTTTTTAGGATGAAAAAAGACAACTCTACGCTTTTTTAATGGATGGAAGTGTCTTTCAACTTTACTTCTGACATTTACATTTCATATTTGCCTGTCAAGACAGGATAATAACCAGAGAAGGAAAAAGCAGTGTAAAGACTTGTAGCAAATGTGTTGGTGCACTTTTATCTTACTGTAAAGCTGTTATTTTCAGTTTTGAAGAATATGTTTTTGTATATGTCGTACTCAGTTGAATTTTGTAGTTTTCTTCATTTTCTTTATTTGATTCAATCCTGATTTCAAATTTTTTGGTAACCTTTGGAAACTCTGATGTAAGACATCTTCTTGATCCATGTAATCATTATGTGATTAGATTGTGTTATGTCATATGAGTCACTCACATTTTAATGATTTTGTATACGATGCTGCAAAGAAATGGCAGAAATGATGAGAAAACAACAGATGTACAATGTATATTTTCTGTTCTCAATTCCAGGTGCTTGTGTTTATGAAATCTGTATGCAAAACGATAAATTGCATTTTTTGATAAAACACTTTTGTTGACAGAGAGTTGCTGTTTAGACCAGATAAATAAAATTCTTCTATAAATGGGATGTTTGACTGTTACCATCTTCTTCAGAAAATTTGTTTTGTCCCGTGGAAAAGCATTCAGAAAATTTATTCCGTCTCACAGAAAAGAATTCAGAATTTTTCAAAGTGACTTGAGTTTTTCTTGACATAATTATCATAATGTTCTGAGAAAGGATGATAAAAATTGCAGAATTTGGCTGTTGATTTACCTGGTAAGATACTTAGCCACAGTGTAAATCACTTGTGTCTGAACCCCTGTTTTAGTGCTTCTGAACCAGGATTTTTACTTGAATTTTTTCAGAATATTAAGTCTCTTCACAGATTATCATTTCTATTCATTATTATACAAAGAGTAGTAAGTTGAACTCCAAAAGAACCTGCAAGAAACTAATGACTCACAAGAATATTATTTTTTTATTTTTTGTGTTTTCTATAAATTCACGTCTCACGTCTTAGAAATTAATCAACTTGACATGTCCCTTCATTCTGTCATCATTTTTTAATCTCAATTCTCTCTGAATGAAAGATATAGTGTACTCTAAGATGCTGACTACGCATAAACTTAAGCATGTAATAATAGTAAAGTAATAATAACATAGTTTTCATCCGTCATGATCAAATCTCAGAATGGGAAACATAATCATGCAGCCAGGGAAGAATATTTTGAATTTCTTGTACGCGTACATATATTATTATTGATACGATCACTCGTTCCATTTGTTTCAGTTATTTGTTTAAGTTATTATAGAGAAGCACATTGAAACGAAAATGGTCGTTTGTGTTTGAAACAGGCAGGATATGTGGATAGAAACGCTAGAAGAAGTAAGACCTACTCATCACTTCTTCTATTTGTTTGAGTTATTTTGTTGGACTTATATATATAGAGAGAGAAGCACACTGACACAACAACAGAACAGTCATTTTGTTCATTGGTTAGTGTTGGACAACGGCAAGATCTGCCGACAGACCAACCACCTTCCTCCATCTTTAACCAGCGGAACAAGCGACGCGATGAGTTATTGTATATTTCCAGTATTAACTCCTCACAGAGCACAATAGACACGTAGCTGCACTGCGTTTGTTTCACCTCGTTACTCATTTCTTTGGCCAGCTGTTTAAATGTATTCAGCCCAACATTTAAAAAATGTTACAGTGAAGTCTGTATACGACGACCTTTGATATAACGACATCCTCTGTGTAGCGACATATATATTATTATGGTGCCCAGGTCCCGATTTTTTCCTTAATTATCATTAGTAGCTTTTGGTTGCCTTTTTATATCGACAACTCTCGATTACGACATTTTTTTCTGGTCCTGACGATGTTGTTATAGAAAAGCTGCATTGTATTTTATTGCAATATCTTAATTTGGTATAGCTTGCATATGCTCGTAATATTTTGTCAAATTTCAAATTCTAAACGTTGAAAAATGCTTGCAAAGATACATTTTGTAAATACAATTGTTTAAAAAATGAAACTGATTTTTCTCTGTCCTGAAAAAAATTATCTTTTTGGGCTTAGAACAGTTAAACAGCTTGTAGAGTTTTTTTTCAAGCCAGATTAGGCCAAGCTGCAGCACTGATTAAACATGATAGCCTGTGTATTTTTTCACCTAAGCTTTTCTATGTAGGGAGAAAAGTTAGTATAGATTTCTTATACTGGTATTTATTGTGGACGGCATGACATGACCATCTATTTCACACCATACTCTTAATTTAACCATTTTCACCACCTGAAAGGCTTTCGTGTGAAGGATATACTTGTCAAAAATGTTCCCAACTTACAAAATAATTACGTTCCTCTTTTTCATCAAATTACATTAATTATCTGAATTTCATTTATGAATTGAATCTGAATGATTAACATAGAAGTAGCAGCATTTTTTAAAAAATTGTACGTTTTCTTTAGTTCATTTGCTTGCATAAGAAAATTCGAGGTCTGATATATGACATTGAAAACATTGGTTGCGACCGAACACGTTTTTTTCTGTGCTTTTTTTAAAGCTTCGATTCAATTAAAGAGGGATCTATGTCTTATCAGTTCAGGGATAGAGCAGGCACTTGTGATTAATAGTCCAACATTTTACTCCCGAGAATTATTTTTACGAGACAATAGTTTAGTTAAGGTACGATAAGTTTGTGTCGTGGCATGCGTCCCCCCCCCCTCCACCCCATCTCCCAACCCCTCTGTGTAATGATCAGTGCCTTTTTGTGACACCCTTGCCAAATCTGAAGTCCACCAGTCCAAAACTTACTTGGTTTTTATGAAAGAGATTGAATTAATTAAATACAAAAAACTTGGTAATATTTTTTTTCAATAACAGCGCGTGCCGCATGTTAATTTAGCATTTCCAGTTTTACGTGTATTGCTATTATTAATAAAACATCACCTATACATACTTTTGTCATAATTTTGTCTCATTTTCACATTTAGTTTGTGTGTCTGCCATAGATCTGTAGTATAGTCTATATATATATATTTGATTATATTATCAGTCCGAGAACTGACTCGTAAATAGACGGTATATGATACATGTCAGGTGTGTGTGTGTGTGTGG